CCCCAAAACCCCAAAACCCCAAAACCCCGTTTCATCTGTTTTAAAGGCAAAATTTGAGATAAAAAATGCTTACATTATCTTTTCTAATTTATTAGGATCCCAATATTATAATTTTTACATAATTTTATGAGCTGTTGTTCGGTAAAATGCTGCAGAGTTTATCTCTCAGTATTTGCTGTCATCATTATTGTAAGTTTGATTTATATTAGATTCAAAATCTTACAAATAACCTCACTAATCTGGAATAATTAGATTGCTGGAATTGTAGTATGCATCTTCTCGGTAAGTGTTAAAAATGAGGCAATCTTTGATTCTAATGATGACTTCAAAAAATACGGACGAGTTCCATTTGCCATTAGTTTGAGTCTTGGGATTATTTTAATTTTAACTGGACTTTCTAGCTTAGTTACCTCTTATAAATATAACAGAATCATGAGAATAATAGTAAGTTATGAGTTTTGATACAAACTTTCAATTTACGAAGAGATAATCTTTCACAATATATATATTAGATTCTTAGCTATTCTCAAAACTTACCTTTTATTTGTAGCTTGGTTGTTTAAGCTTTAGTTTATTTATTTCTTTCATTGTCATCGGTTCACTTTTAATTAGAGAGTATAGTAAGTTTAAGTATATTATAAAAGATTATCATAATTTCTTTAGATGAGGGAATCAAAATTCTTAATAATGTGTGCAGAAATATAGAAATTAGAGAATTTGATGAGAATAGTGATATGCATAATCTAATCTTGTTCGCAGGGTCTTATGATATGGTATTAATGACTACCTCTAATTCATTTATGTGCACTGATATATGCCCTTGTAAGAAAGCTGATGCTAATCTATGGAATGAAAGAGAGCTTAACTATGCAGGTAGAACGAGATACTAATATAACGATACGAGATATAATAAGACTAATCAATTTAATCCACTTGTATTCGTCGATAGTGGTGGATACAATAATTTTTACGACTGCTTGGGGATAGACAAAATGATTGATTAAAAATACCCAAATGAATCAGGTCTAATACCTAATAATATGATACAGATTATAAAAATGCTTGAGAATTCCTATCATTGCAATAATTTCTGCCAGACTAGTGAGTTCTTTTTATTCAGAGATATAACTGAGGGTCCACCAAGAGGTGGCTGTATGAAGCCAATTTAAGCAATGCTTAAAAGATTATTGGAAGGTGGTGGGGGAATCAGTTTTTTTGCCTCATTTTCATCATTCTTCTTACTTTTAGGTTTGCTATTCAATTGTAGATTTAGGAACATGAAAGACTATGAGGAGTGGAGGTCTAACTAAAATTAAAATAGATAAAATGACGATTCTTCAATAGGATAGTTCAAAATTGATGGTTTCAATGATATAGGCTATTAAAGTAGCATAGTTCAAAAAGGTTTTCATTAAAATAATGATAAAATTGGTGGTAGGACAATAAATATTAATGATGATGGTCAAGTCTAAGTTGAATATGTACTCACAAACGGTTAAGATCAAGATAGAAATGAACCTTATCACAGATAGTCTGCCTAAAAACTAAATAATGATTATGATGATACCTAGATTTGATTTTTTAGCAGTAAATATTGCTTAAATTTGCTTTTATATCATATCCTAATTATTTGATTTTTTATTAATGCATTTCTTTTTATAATTTACGTATTAAGGGGTTTTGGGGTTTTGGGG